ATATTAAAACAAAAATATTTAAATAATTGACTCAAAATGACATTCTTAATGCTTATTGCATTTTATTTGCAATATTCATAGTGATATCTCTTATAATGTATTTATAATGTGATATCGCAATTAAAAAAAGCTTTGATAAATTGTTGAGGAGATACGCTATTTATATATCATGTGGCTTTAATTATTCCAGGTGAAACTTTCATAACAATTTTGATTAATTTAATATAACTGAGATTAAAAATTAAGTTAATATAAAAGATATAATATTCTTCTATAATATAATTAATAAATGGCTCTGTATGTCAATCGCTAGTACATGCTTGAAAATAACTCCATTTTTAACACACACTTTTTTCTACATAAAAATTCCCAGAGTGATTTCTGAATTTTATTCAAAAAAAAAAAGAACACTCAATTTTAATTTAACATCAGCTGCGGATACGAACAAGCGAGCAATCAAAGCTCATCGAAAAGTCTGCTTCGTGAATTTAATTAAGAAGTCGAGAATAACTGCTAGACGATGATTTTATATTACAAAAAAAAGTCCAAGCATACGACAAAGATCAAGTACTTTCACTTGTCACTGTCTACACCCCTAGGAAATATAACCGTGTTCTTTACGACCTTAATAAATAGACGCATTTTGTCTATATTTTTCCACACGGTCTGTTTTATGCGAGAAAATAAAAATAGTATTTGTACTCGGATATAACATATTTAGAAATGAGGATTACTTTTCAATGATTCAACATGTGACTATTTTTAATACTTTCGAAATATTATTACTTTTAATGCACTTATTGGAAAGATCTAATGATAGAAACTCTCGCAATAGTAGGTTTTATTTGTGTAAACGGTGATCGCGCGTCGATTATTCTACATAATAAAAGGTAAACTTGTTAACTCCCACGCGATTAAAGTTCACAAAGCTGTAGACGCCTTAAATTAGCGCGGAGTCAGGTAATCATTAGAAGGCATTTAGCCTCGCGAGATCGGGTCGCTCGTGTGCAGATAGCAAAGACGCACACGTAAGTCGGTCTGTTTGCATGGCCTAAATAAGTTCAGCACGTTGAATCCGTCAACATGCACGAACATATCGTGCGTCAAGCGACACGTATAAAATACAAAAGAAATTCATATGTGAAAAAGCGTGCGGTCTGGAAATAATCCTGTTTGAAAATCAATCTTTCGTGATATATTCATACGAAAAACCTTTGTTTTAATAAAAAATACGTTAATGAAACTTTTGTGATATCGTATCTATTGTAAAGATACCATGTACGGTCGTAGTATGAATATCTTGTATAGATCGTATACATAACAAGTTGCAACGTCATTATAAATACACTTTGTGATGCATTGAAAGTTTCTGTTCCGCAATTTCCGTCATGTCTTGCGAACTGTTCATCAGAACTGTTTAATTAACATTAATCGACATTTATGAAATCGTTGCTGATTAGCGTCAGAGCCACGGACTTCATTACGCTCGGTTCCCCGGATGTGACTCAATCTAGCTAATTTCAACAAGAATGTGCCGTCAAATATGGATCTTCTCGTGGGCGACCCTAATCTGAAGCGATGACCCGGATGTCATTTGGTCAATCATCACTTAATTGGATCATACATATCCGAGTAATGGAATTGCTTACGCCGATGTGGGTTTAAGATACAAAAAATTTATCCGCAGGAACATTCGACGTTGAATGTGAACCTTCGAATAAAAGGACGATAAAGGTCGTAATTTTATACTTGAACAAATAAATTTCTAAAAATACCTAATGTAAGAAGAAATTATTTCATTAATATTCTTTCTCCTAAAGTTGAAAAATTGAAGATAAGAAAAAAAGAATGGGGAGTTAAGATTGTAATTTGAGATCCTTTTTACGTACGATATTTCAAATAAAATTTGTAACAGTGAAAAAAAAATCAATTCTAACGTTCTAACGCTTGACGTAACTTGTTGTTAGGCGTAAAAACTTCTTTGGGGCCGTATTGATGACGCATTAACGAAGGGTTGAAATCGACGAGGTGCCGCTTAAAGTAACACCGACTGGGAAATGATGCACTTTAACCTATATTGAGGATAACGATAAAAAACGAGGGAGTTTTTAGACGAGGCAGATTGTCCCCCTTAAAGCATCATCTCGTCGGCCGCAATAGTGCGCCGTATGTCCTGCCTGAAGGTTAATCTTGGCGATAAATACGGACGCCATAACCGTGGGGGAAGTCCTTTCCGATGCTCCGAGGTGTATGTATATCCCGTCAGAGTGTGACATCACATCGTAATTTTCGAAAAAGGATGAGCTACGACCTGATAAAAAGAGTGACGGGGAGAAACGAGATTACCGCGTAAGCTCCATTAAAATTAGTATCTTCACGCTAATTAAGGCCTCGAGCAAAGATAAGTTTAAAGCGAGTCAACTAATTATAACGCCGAAGAAAATATAGTATATCCAGTAAAGTTATTTTCTTTAATGTTCCGCTCTCACTACTTCGTTAACTTTTTCTCTTTTTAAATTGTCCATATTTTTATCGCCCTCAAAGATTCTTCGGATATACATCTCGGTCGCATCATTTCTCATTTCAACTTGTTATTTAATTTTTTTAATTTTCTCGCGTTACAGGAGCACGTTTCACACGGAACGTTATAAGAATCGTCCGGTAAGAATAGGATATTCTTTTTCTCCGGCTGTCCCGGAGCTAAGAACGCTCTCTCTTCTATCACGTCGCTATTAATCTCACCCCGAGAATACCAGACAAATCGGCTACTTGTGACCTGTTTTTATCTTCCGAAGGAGCGTATTATAGGTTACCGATGCGATAGATTACGCAATATTGAACATTTCACGTATGCTATAAATCCGCTCCCTCGATTCATCCCTACGACAAGACACGCGAAATATTGCCTCCTGTCCGTTATAATATTATCGCGTTGAGTCAATAAAAACGAACCGTATGCGAAAGTTATGTATTATTCTCTCGTCGAAAAAAAAAAGATATCTGCATTCATCAGTGTCAATCTACCTGTTATTTTACGTTTCTATTATTCTATTATATCTATTATTTTATTATTCCATTGTCTATTTTTTATTACTTCTATTATTTTTCGTCTTCTATTATTTTATTATTGTATTATTTTAAGCCCGTTGCGCTTGTCCATAAAGTGAATACCGCATGTCCATAAATTGACGCGTATATCGGCGGTGTCGGCAATAAAACTAGAATGAAACATCCGGACATGTTATCAATAAAATGCATCGTATATTAAATGCAATGTAATGTTTGCTTTCGTTTAAATAAAGAGGATTAAAAATAAAACTTTCTGATAATAGTAACAGCAGTATTTTTTTTTTTACAAATGTTGACAGACTGGATGCATCATCCGAAAACTCGGATGCAAGATCAATTTATTTAGAATGTTTAGATTTTCATACATGGGAGCTATGATGGAAGGGAGCTGCGATATATCGGGAAATCTGTAGCCGAAAAATAGCGAAGATGAAAAATCTTTTTCTGCAAAGGCGTATAAACCATAATTGCAGTCGGAAAAAAATATGAATACGTCATGCATGTTTGTGAATACGAAGACCTGACAACAGATGTAATCAAATCCCGCCTCTGCTGCATAGAAGCGCATGTAACGTCGCTGTTTCTCCGCAGAGGGGGGGGGAGGAGGAGAGGAGGAAAAGGTGCATAATGAGATTGAAGTCGACGAGCGGAAACTTCGGATGACGTACTTTCGCGTGACGGCGCACTCCGGATGCTAAGTATGCGTGTTTGGTTCTTTACGATGGCAAGCACGGGGGGGAGAGGACTCGAGCTTACGCAAGAGCTTACTTAAGAGGATTTTTATCCCCGACATTGTTTCGCGCTTGCGATTGCATAGTTGCGTGCTTTTCCCTGGAACACGTGACGAATCCAGTCGAAGATGGATTCGAACACGATAAGCGTAAATCCGGCTGCGAAAAGGTATTTTTTTTCGATTCGTAAGCTTTAATAGATTTTTGGAGTAACGTTACATATTTTTCCGAGATTAAACTTTTTTTTTTATTTTTTTCGGCAAGTAAACACAAGGAAACCGTGTTCTCCGTGCCAAGGGAATAAAATTTGCAGTTCCGCGAGAGCTTCGGATATGCGCGAAAATAAATAATTCTTTTTGCCAACATCAGAAAAACGCTTGTGCGTCGGACTTCGGAGGGCCTTTAATTTATTTCTTTGAAGCTATGCCAAATGCGCATTTCATTAAATCAGCGAAGGGTTGCTTCGTAGAGACCGGGAAATATTAGATCGCTAAAAATGTCACGTAGCGTTAAAACGCTTGCTAATTCACGCATAACGGTGCCGTTGCATCGTTTGCAGTTAGTTACTCGAATCTAGTATACATCGAGAGCATTTCTCTATTTGCGGTAATTACAAAAGCGACAGGCGACTGTTCCGGTTTATGCATGCATAGAGGTGGATTTGCATATCAACGATAACGAAATGCATTTAGCAACCGATATTCTTGTGATGTCGATTTTAATATCATACATATGTTCTCTGGTTATGAGAGAAGTTCTAGTTTTAACGACTTTACTATGTTACATCTTTCAAATAGGAAATAATTTCCACTTAAGAGACTTACGAAAGTAAAACTCGCATATATTCTTCGCCGTATCCTATTTTCAGGTAAAAACGTCAATTTTAATATTCTTGAGTTCAAAGTTAAAGTGAGAAATTCGAGGCGATTCGTTGAAGTCTACGAATGCACAAGAGATTTCAATTAAGTCGTTGATGCTAGAAATGGTAAGCTTCGCTTTCCCGGTTCGTTTCACGGTCGGTGAAAATCAGAGACTCAAGATAAGTGTTTTTCGCTAGCGGCCTCGATAAGAACACCTCGTATCCGCGACAGGTCGCGATCTCGCGTGTTGGCGTCGATCTCTGCGCCCCACGTCGAATACTCTCTGCCCGCACCCTCACCCTCTCGCTCGGGGGTCGCGTTCAGTCAGCTCCGAGCCGCGAGTGGGGTAAGTTGCGCCGCGCGCCGGCTCGTCTGGCCCTTCTCACTGAACGAAGCATACACAACATCGCTCCGCGTGCATCCCTCTTATTGTCATCATCGGTTGATAACGAAAAAACGCAAAGATCGACAAATCGTGTCGCGACACGACGCCCTCGCGAGGACGAGGACGTGGGTGGATGCATCGTGGTGATCGCGTTTCCGCGATCAGACTCTTCCGGTCGGTTTCCGCGTTTGATTTCTTCGCGACGGGAAGAGAAGAAGGGAAGGGTGTTGCACCGATTGATGACGATCGACGAAGAAACGCGGTACCGTTTACGGTGGTAGAGATACGCGGGTCGCGTGTGAAGACAAGCGGAAAGTGAACTTCGTCATGTTGAGGTGAGTTTTCGCCTTTCTCTTATTTGATCTAGTTTGCGACGTGGTTGTGACTGCGCAATTTCTTATGTAACGTAACCGTGGAAGGCCCCTTGGGGCAGGAACATACCTCGCTCTTTTATCGGGTTTTGTAATCACGGTTGAAAATCGTTGGCATTCTAATATCGTGCACTGTTTTTACGTTCCATTTTCTTTTTAGTTTCTCTGTTCTTCTTTGAACAATTTAAAATCAAATTTACTTAAACAAAACTGTTAAGATGGTAAAATAATTGATAAGTTTTGAGCGATCGGCTTTACAAATGCAAATAAAGAATGAAATTTTTATTCAATTTTTTTCTCTTTAATTTTATTTTTTATTCAACTAAAACTTTAGTTGAATAAAATTTTTGCTTATGGCTTTTTCGAAAATTTGCATTTGTTTATAATTAACTATATAAAATTATGTTGCCAAGTATAAAAAGTAAAATTGTCGCAATTTTTCAAAAAAATGTCAGTATCCAAAGCCTCGGTTGTTAAATTTTAAGCGGAAAACGTAACAAGAATCTCAGAACGTAGTTTATTATTCGAAGAGTACTCTCGCGCAAAAAAGCAAGTCTCTCTTTTTAAAAGGCAGCCTATTGACAATTGACAGTAAATTCCCTTTGTGAAGCGAAGGAGTTCTGTTTCGTTTGAAACAAAGGTCGGATTTTCCTTAAATTTCGAATAAGGATTATCTAACACATCATCTACTGGCAACACATAATCTATTATGAATTCTCTTAGAATGTTAGAATGGGAAGCATGATCGACTAGGAATCAGAAGCGAATACCAAACGCGAATTGCAGCGTAGTTCTACGACAATAGGAGCAAATCTCTCAAGTGGGTCAACAAGTTGAGTACTCTATAGATACTCGGTTTCGGAAGCTATGATATGATAGGGGAGAGAGAGAGAAAGAAGGAGAGAGATAAAAATCGAAAACGTGAATCGCAATTATTGGTTTTGCCGCTCATTTCATCTGCAGAAACTATTTTGAACAACCAACAAAACAAATTAAACTCATTCTTTCTTTTAAATTATTAAAGATATAAATAGGGGTGAAGTAAAAATTAAATAATCCATTATATTCAAATATTTAAAATAAATTATACGGTATAAATTATATTCTAAAATGTAAAGTCTAAAAAGAATTAATAACAATCATGGAAAGAGTGATGCTTTAATACGTCTAATTTATTCATTACATTTTGGAGAAAGATTAAGACAATTCTTACATTTAATCATCATCTTCATCATATCTTTGACTTATTAACGCAATAAAGAAAGGATGTAAACCGGGTTTAGTGTTCAATTTTCTGACACATTTATAATATCGTAAAAGTATATCTATGTCAATAATGATGAATTATTTTAAACTGGTGATACTGCAGATTTTTATTGCACTATCATCGCTGATACTACTTTTTTCAAGAAAACCTGAAAAATTTTTTATTAATCCCTTGTCTTCACTCCGAGATTATCTCACTTTTCCATTTCGTGCATAGCATGCTCTTTGCAAAGCCCCTTGTAAAAATGATATATCTTCCCTCGCAAATATTCTTTCTGTGTCAAAGTTCTGGACGATTCTCGGCAATAGACACAGTATATACATGTGCTTGAATATTTACGAATGGCGTTCACCTGCGAAAATTCGCATGCCATATAACACCGTGGCCTTTATGTATTATTCGGCGCTTCAAGATTTACTGCGAAGTCTACGAGTGATGGAGCAATTTGAGCTGTTTCTCACACAGTGATCGGAGTTTAGACAATATAAAATATCAGGGAGAAAGAGAGAAAGAGAGAAAGAGAGAAAAGAGAGAAAAGAGAGGAAAAGAGAGGAAAAGAGAGGAAAAGAGAGGAAAAAGAGAACATCACAAATTTCTTCTTTCACTATTTTAAATTATACAAATATGCTTTATATAAATTCTTTAACATTTTTATAGCAACTACTCAAAAATTGTATTTCTTCTTTAGCTCTTCACAAAAATTGAATTTCTTCTTTACCTCTTCACAGGAGTTAAAATGCAGTTTAATCGTATATTTGTAAAATCGTAAACAAATGATATGATGTGTATACGATTACAGATGGTCCGCGAATATGAAAGCAATAAAAACGGACCGATCAATTTCGCGCTCTATTTTTGCCGCGATCGATCGTAAGTGCCGTCAAACGTGCCATTAAAACAACGAGCGATTTTGCATTCTCTTTCTCTGTCTTTCTCTTTTTTTCATTCGTCCGGGTTACGTCGTCCCGAAAGATTTCATTGCATTCGTGCTCGAACAATCGAAATGCCACGCACAGGTGTCTCTAAGGATCTAGGCTTCTCTTAAAGCTCGCCAGCATAATACATGCGATTTTTTCATAATGTAAGAGTTTAAATCTCTCGGCAGTCTTTAAAGCGCTTTTAAATTCTCAGAGGAGTAATGGTCGCGCGCAGAAGAGGGATGATACTTTTCAGCGGTACTTTATTACATCCAGGATCGTATCTGGCATTGCCGGTATATATCTCTCCTTGCGCTAAGTTCTATTTTTGTTTCGTCATATCGATTCCTCGCTCACGCTGTTTGAAGTCGTAATATCGCGTCGTGCCGGATCTCTTTCGCAAAACGGCGAAATTAAGCGTGGGCATTTGTCGGGTGTTAGCGAGAGAGAAAACGGTAAGAGAAGAACGGTGCTAATACCCGGGGAGATAACAATACAAGCCGTATTTTAAATGAACGCTCGTTTCACGGGACGCGAGATACATGCAAATAAATGGCGTATTGCTCTGATGCCGGATGAATTAGAGATACGAACATTCATCATTTATCGATGTATATTTAATTCTATTTTCGAGACATATTCTCGATAATTGAATCTCCATCGATATCGAATTTTGCATCTAGGAAGCAGAGAATGATATTTATGTACTCTTGAAAAATTACTCGGATTATCTTCACGATCGCAATGATAATCGCAATGAACAATATTAAATGCAACGTTATTGCAGCTCTTCTTCTTTTTACGATGACAACTGAGTGCATAGTTTTTATAACGACTTGGCGACTTTCTCCGCGAAATATGAATTGCAAAAGTAGTAAAAACTACCAAGTGCAGCAGTTAAGCTATTCTTTCTTTGTCCTTTTTTTTTTAATGCGAAATTGCGAAGCTCTATTTCCCTGCACAATGAATGCGACGCTAAATGCGCCATCCTAGAAATCAAATTAAAAAATTCTCGTTATATTGTATCTGTCGGAATGCTCATGCTTGACAATTAAACGCGTTGCAAGTATAAGCACAAGTGCACTATGTTAACTTTTTTCGAATAATCATTTACGCGTGAATTTTTAATTAACAATCTTCATGAAATTAGTACTCTATTTTTAGATTTTTTCCATAATTAATGAAATTTCTTAATCAATTCCGTTTACGAGATTGATACTTTTTAATTAACTATTGATTAAAATGAAGTTTATGCATTTTCAATCTTGAAGTTTAAATTGTTAAAGTCTTGAAATGTTTTACATATAACTCCATAATTATGTTACTCAAATAATTATGTTATTCAAATTCTTGGAAACACTATTAATTTCCTTTCAAGACATTTTTTAAAATACATAGAGAGAGAAAGAGCAAAGGCCAATAAATAGAAACATGAAAAGTACAATAAAAAGTCGATAAACAAAAATATAATGGAAATTATAATGGAAATTATAATGGAAAAAATTATAATGAAAAATACATATTTCATCGTCGGAAGAACTCTATAAAGAACGAAGAAATCCGTAAAAATCCAACAGATGTTAAACAATCTAGAGTATTTACTACGTTTGAATATTTCTCTCGATGCGATTCTTTCTCGAGGAATCGAATTTCACACAGAATTTCTATAGAATTCAGTTGTACATTAAATATGAATTAAACCAATGGGCGAGTAACGCTATGCGATGGCGTGCGAAAGTACTGGCTAATGTCGAGTTCATCAATTAACAATCGTAGAGATCGATAGTCGGATTAATTATCGTCGTTAACAATACGCCTGCTACAACAGAACGATCATTCCCATTTGCCAGAACGAAGTAATTAATTGCTAACTGATAACGACTGCGGACATGCGCTGGTGACAACAGTGCTCGTTATTAATTGAGGATCCAATCGAAAGTTGCATGGTATCTCGCGATGCAAATCGGATTATGAAGCATCAGAGTACGTTTTTCACGTTTTCTATTAAAATTTCTCGTTGCTTAGCTGTTTATTCACATTCCTTTATTATTCTGATACTCAAATTCTAATGTTTAATTAAATTTTTTTATCTGAATACACAGTGAATAAAAAATTATTTCTGTAATTATTAATACGTGTGCTAGTTTTTAATAATGTAAAGAATATTTTAAATCTCTGATTTTATTCTTAATGATTGTATATGAGAAAAACAACGTTTAATTTTATCAAATTGTAAGTCACCTTGTAAGCAGTTAACACAAACTTGAAGAAATGAGATAGCGCACGACTTGTTTTTATTGCGTTCATTATTCTCTCGCGAAGACACAAGATCTGTTAAAGAATTTTACTCTCGCAGCAGAATCGCTAACATCGTAAATTTGAGCGATAGTAAGATTTCCCATCCGAAAACTTCTGCTTCTCCGAGAATTTCCGTCACGACACGTAAGTTACGACAGCTAGTAGGAGATTTCGAGCTTAATTTGAAATATATCTTCAAATTGCCGCAGGAATAAGTCGAATAACAGCATTCCATGTGGAAGCTAACGGCAGCAGATTACATCCAACACATCAATATGATAACGAGCTCGCGATATCAGAAGATTGTGTGTGTATGGATGTGTGCTGCACTATTTATCTTTCGTCGTTTCTCTCGTTGATATCGCGATTGCCACGTGGACGACCATCTTCGCAAATTTGCATATTAAAATTTATCGTTGCTCCTCTCTGATTTATATCATCACGCAAATTATTCTACTATAATTAAAGCTGAACAAACCACG